AGGTCCAGTTCTCATTTAAGCTGGGATGGCGATATGGTACGGGGCCTGGTTGCACTCCAGCGTTGGTAGGTTCCCTGGTTATGGGGATGAATAGTACCTTCTGGAGATGTACGTCAGGTTGTAATACGACTTCGCAGTCTTTGAGTACAGTAAACTACATATGCACAGGAGCAAGCTTAGAAGAGGATTGGGAACAAGGGGAGAGGACCTTTGACTATACATTTCCCGGGGAAGGTCCTTTCGTCATTGAGTAAGATTGCAAAATATATCCACATGTTCATTAATTTTAAAAAAGTCAGAATATGAAAAAAAAAACATTTATATGTCAAGTTTGTATTTTATTAACATTGTGTTAATCTTTAATTCGATTTTGTTACCTTGGCTGTTTTTTATGCTACTCATTCGGACAAATGACGAAAACACGCCCCTTTGCACTTAAAAATTTGTCTCTTTTAAAAATAATAGATTTGCGAGTTGTTGTTGGATAAGTTTAGACTATGGAACTTCGGCTGGATTCTGGTCAATTCAAACAGTCGTTAATTTGGCCAGTAGGAGTGATATCCAGCAACCTAACAGCAGTCCTGTCACAACAGGGAAGCCAATGTACACGTAAGACTCAGGATTTGATTCATCTTCATTTAAGAAATGAATTTTAATTTTCGAAGATCCATGAGGTTATGAAGCGTCGTAGTTCATAACCTCATGAATCTTCAAAAATTAAATTCATCTCTCATATTTACATTATTTTTATGACTTATGACGAGTTGCCTCATGTTGCGCCATTCAACTGCCATTTTTAAACAAAACAGATAGCACTATATTTTTGAAGTTAAGTATGGTATTATGACGTTACAATGGTCATACTCATCCACAGTAGTTCATGAGAAAATTAACAGTCTCCTAATTTGCAAAGAATCTTAAGCAAAAGTATTTGAAAATGTAAATAAAACGGAATGAAAATTAAATCTCAAGTGAGCTTTTCTTTGATCGAAATTATTGTCTGCCATCATTGATGGCCGACACTTTTTACAACTTTGGTTTCAATCTTTTTTCAGACTACAGTATGGTTGTCGGCTTGCCTTACAAATTCCAGTAGCAGATGCTAATGGTGATATTTTAAGATGTCGTTGGTCCTCGGGGTCAGAGTGTGTCTCTGTCTGTTCCGCTCTCCCTTACGCCAGCTTAAATAGAGTAAATAAATATTTGTGAGACAAGAATTTATTTAACCTTAGAACATGATATTTCATCATCCTACATTAAAACTTTTATATCCTAATGTTTAACAAAAGTTACCATACTTGATTTAAATGATTATATGAACAAACATTTTGCTTAGGAGACATGCACGATAACTTTTCCATCAAATCACACCATAAATGGTACATATGCTGTAGCTGTAACTGTCGAAGACTTTCCCCGTTCAAATATTCTTATTGGTGGGACGACGTATACTCCTTCTGGCCCCATGACGTCAGTTCATCTCCAGGTAAATATATATATATATATATATATATATATATATATATATATATATATATATATATATATATATATATAAAATAAAAAGGCAACACTTGTTAAAACGTAAGCGCTTACGTTTTAACAAGAGTTGCCTTTTTATTTTATTTTAATATTGATTACCGGACACTGAGATATTTATTTTATTTCTTTTGGATATATATATATATATATATATATATATATATATATATATATATATATATATATATATATATATATATATATATATATATATATATATATATATATATATATATAGATAGGGTAAATGTACTTTTCCCTTAAAGTTTTGAAGATTTCTGTTAAATCAAATTTATAGACTCCTTGATTCGTATTTTTTAGTTTCTTGTGAGGACTCCCAGTTTGTCCGGTGGTTGTGATGAAAGACCCATTTTCGTCAATAATACACCCCCGGAGGGCACCATTATTAATGTTATGGTGGATCAAACGTTACACATCTCCTTTTACGTCGCTAGCAATGACGTACACTGCATGAAGCATTGGTCGATTTTTTTAATGTTTAACATAACATCGAATTTACAATAATATTTTGAACTGCACATTATGTAATTAAGGTCATTTTCATGTTTCGACAGAATAGCAAGAGTTGATGTTACGTCACCAGCTGGGATGACGTATACTTCTCCCATGCCATACCCAGGACGACCAGGGGTTTTCTTTATAAACACAACATGGACACCAAGAGCACTACAGATCGGTTCACATATACTATGCGCCTTAGCAGAAGATAATAATGGGTAAGTCCTCTGACAAAAAGGCAGTTTCTTTCTTAACTGTTTCTACACTTGTTTATTGCATTATAACTTAATGCTTTTTTGTAGAAAAGCGAGTGATTCTCGGTGTTTGAAATAAGAGTTAAAGGTGGTACGTTTTACACTTTGAGAAAATAATCGTTTGAAAATGGAAACAAGTATACCTTATATACCATAAACAAATTCACAGTATATGTTTTCTATTCATGATACAGATATGAATCCCTGTTCATACGACCCTTGCCTAAATGATGGGACGTGCATCCCACAAGGAATGACTCAAAACTTCACATGTAGCTGTATTGCTGGATACACAGACGGGATATGTCAGACAGGTATTTGAAATCTGCTATAAATGGTTTTACAGGGTATAGTTTTAAGAATGTTAATCTTTGAATTGTGTCTTCTTCGTGAATTCACAATGGTCGGTATAGTAGTATTAATGAAAATAATTAAATTGAAAACGTACAACATTAGAGCTTTCATTAACAATCTTCAGATGCATTACAAATGTATACTCACTGTCACATAGTAATTAGTTACGTATATATACTTTGACAGACATCGACGAATGTGAAATAGATCCATGTACATTCCTCTTTGATTGCATTGACGGGCTAAATGATTGGGTTTGTAAACTCAATGAATTTAAATTGGCCGCAAAAGTAATAGCACTAGTTCTCATCGCTGGAATCACTATATTCATTATCTACAAAAAGAAGAAGAAATACAAAGAAGTTGACCATTCCTGGTAAATACCTCTCTCTCTTTTTTCTCTCTCTCATTACTTGAAACTATCTTTGAGTGCTCTTGATTTGTATGAGTTAATTTGTTTTGATTTTAGGCTATCTAACTACTTAGATGTTCGAAAACCTGACTCTCAGCCAAAACTTGTGTAAGTATTGACTTTCAAATATAAATGCGTTTAAAAAGTCATTCATGTATTTTTAACACAATTTTGTTTGGGTTTTTTTTTGTTTTTTTTTAATTTTTTTTTTTTATTATTTTACAATTTTATTTTATTTTTTTTACAGTTACCAGCCAAAGTCGGTCCAAGATTTGAAACAACCTAGTTCAGTTTGTAAATCGTTTAGTTTAAGATTCAAAAACTTTTTAAAATGAGACATAATGATCAGGACATCAGAAACTGTATTTTAGATCAATATTGTTTTATTTTTAACATGAAATCTATGGCTACTTTTACTTGTATCAATACTATGACTGATATCGTATATGTATAAATGCCTCAAATTTTCAAAAAAAAATTATTTTGGGATGAACTTGTTAACAATGATAAAGGATAATCTAAACTTTTTTCTGCATATTTTATATCGTAGCACATTAATTTGTCTACCATCCTTAAATATAAAGCTGTTTTATTCGATGTATTATTTCTTAATATTAAAATCAGATCCTTTGATCCGCTCACATAATTCGCTGTGTGAGCAGATCAAGGAATCTGATTTTAATCAGAGTGTGTGTATTCTATTCATGAGTACATATGTATCTGGGAGGGAAAAGAAAACAAGGAGTTGGATAAAAATTATATGCAATAACAATAGAGTTTTTTTTACCTGATTATTATCTTTTTTAAACATAATTTTCCTTTCCCGTGGGCTTTTTTACGCTCTAACAATATCATTTTTTTTCTACCACTGAAGATATAGCGCATTATGAAATGTAATTTCATTTATTATACCCGCTCGCTCGAAAAGTGGGCGGGTACATAGTGATGAGAATGTTCGTCCGTTCGTCTTTCCGTATGGCTGTACACCCATCTCTTATGCGCAACTCCTCTCATACCACTGAATGAAATTTAATAAGACTTTCACAGAATCTTTTTTACATAGTGCCATTGAGCACTTCTTATTTTACTTTTTGATCTGACACTTATTCCGGGTTTGCCAGAGCAAAACATGAACTTTGCCATTATAATCACATTGGAGGCGTCATGCTGCATTAGATTTAAAAAAAAAAAACAACGAAATATATGTAACGGGACCCATATGTTGGTTCGAGAGATTGAGATCTTCGAGAGATCAGGAGTAAATTTGCATACTTATATGAGCATTTGTCCCAATTTCTCTGCCATCTTTTAAACAGTATTGCAACATGTTAGCAATATGATTGATTGTGTCTTGTAGATGTGCAATATTAATGTTTTATTAACCTTTGAGGAAAATAATGAAGGCCCCAAAACTACTTTTTTCTTCAATTCGTCTAACATTTTTACAGTAGCACATTGTATTTATATGTTGGAATATTGTCCGGTAAATATTCAATAAGGTGCAATTAGGCTTTTTAAATCATATTTTAACCATGGGGCCCAAAATTGTTTTCTTTATTACAAAAATCTGGTACTAGAACTTTACTAACATTTTGTCGCAAGCTACGTTTATCATTTGGATATGATTGGATTTGACCTGTGAATGAACAGTCATCTGTAATGAATATTCGTATTTGTTGAAGGAAACATAAGTGTTCATACTAACACGTCATTAAGTATATGTTGGTATCTTTTCGAAGTACCATAAGCTTTAGTGCCGAGCAAAGCGAGGGACAAAACTGAATGACGATAAAAACACACTTAAAGTAATACAAAGAGAAGAAAATAAATTTGCGTTCTATCTTTTTTTTTTGTCGCAACTCTAGTGCATTTTTTTAATATTGTTATCAACGGAATGAAATAACGAATAAATTTTATCCAGATAAGTGCAAACTAGTACACACCGAGATGTAAAAATTGTAACATAGCAGCACGTTTTCTAGTCTGCAACGAGTTATGTGACAGTCCTCAATGAGTGTTTTCAAGCATAATGTTTAATTTGGGACACCAAACGAGTAAATACAATATCAATCGAAGGAATGTGTATTACGCAGGTAGGGCTACACTACTTTCACTTTGGCTTTCGTACAGAATATTTGTAAGACATAATAAAACACACTTACCTATAACTGGTGGGCATTACCGTAAAGAATTCCTATCTAACATATTTAACTTTTAGACATATAACTTTTACATCTTTAAGTTATTTTTCTGCTGATTTATCATGTATTTATTTAAATCGTGTAAGTGTGTTCTTTTCAGCCAATCAAAAACTTTACCAGAATTTCGGTAAGCCTCGTTTTGGCGTTACAAACGATATTACGTATCTTTACCAGACCCTCTGGCTGGTCGGAGATTTACGGAGACAGCCGAGGGTCTGGTTGAACGAGACTATCTGTAATCTATTTCAATCATTTTGGGCATTTGTATTAATATGTTTCTGAATGTAGCTGAAGATCCCTGATGCTATTTCTCAAATTGCTCAATAAAAATAGATACATAAAACACGAAAAACAACCGATAACCTATAAATGTTCTCAGATAGTCTCACAGAAAGGGGACAAGTTGGTAATTACGTACATAAAAACACAAATCATGATGATTAAAAAATGAAAATGAACTTCGTTTACTAAAGTTTTGGTATTTTAAAGACCAGGGATTTTTTACCTCTTGTTGTATTTGGAGTTCATAAGAGGAAACATCAATAGTCATACTCTCTTTTATACGGAATGCTTCCTTTGTATATTCTAAACTTTTAAAAGCCTTATATACCGCTGTGATGAATTTCAGAAACAAGGAAACAGATTTAACGGAGCACCGAAAACCCAATATTATTCGCTTTTGGTCATTTTGAAATCAGTCTTCTAGATGAAAATTTCAATTGTTTCTACACTTCAATTGTAGACTAAAAGAACTCTTTTTGTCGAAATTGTTCTCTACTGAATCTGTATTCTCAGGGAGATGTTTGATATATACTTTTCGAATTCAAAAGATTTATGTACACAAAATCTAAGCTTATAGCAGCCCTGTAACTCGGTCATATCATATGCACCTCAAGTTGAGTGGAGAAGAATTCTTACATTCAAATCAACAATTTAACTTGTCAGAGGATTCGTGTTTAATGCAACTACTGCATTGTAATAAAGTTGCTTTATATCACATACCAAGTAGTGCATCAGCCCTGATACATCCCTTTTGGACTAGGCGAGAAATCATCTTGGAAATACGACTGTCTCGCCCTCAGGATTGAGTTATCTATTTCTCAACTCGTTCTCAAGGAGCTGTCTTGCCCTCAAATTTCAATCCATCATTTCTGAGTAATTTGTATAAATTAAAAGTAGAATTTATATCAAACTGTTAAAGAAAAATATTTTCTACACTAAAATTTATCTTGAATTTGTTCAGAGATAATTTTTTGCCGAGCAACAAAATAAAGATAGCTCAAATTTTCCTAACGACAAAATTTAATAAAACCCTTTCACGAGAAAAATGTTTAAATACATGTCTTTGTCCTTTGATTGCCTGTGGTTTTAGATACCGGGTGTCATCACTCTACTGTTTTGATCTCGAACCTGATATTAGCCCTCCAAGTAAACATATAATTTATATACATGTAGACTCAAAAAAATTACGAGGTGCAAAAAGTAATCATGAGAATTCTTACACATTTTTGGATGACCCTAGTCTTCAAAAACTACAAAGAAAATCAAGCATCTTTTAATGTTTACTTAAAAGTACTTGTGTGTACAATCAGGATTTTTTTTCTTCTTAACAAAATTATCGTTTCAAAGGACGAACTACAAAATAGTAACTTTAAATTTTCCATTTTTATTGAAAAGTGGATGTCAATAACGTAAAAAAGCATGGTCTTAAAAAGTCTTCATCGTGGGGAATGTTGAAAGTCGTACGTTTCGATGTTGATCCGGGTAAAAAAAAATTTGATTTCAAACCTATTTAAAGTTCCTGGATTTTTTAAGTACAAGTATCCACATCTGATTTACAGCACCTCTAGAATAAACAGTGTTGTACAACAATCCTGAAGTTTCTCTTTCTTTGTAGTAAATATTGTAATGAGGAGAAGATGCTTGGAAGAATATTTTCTTGAACCCGTTACGTATCTTTGTAAGGATTTCTAAATGAATTTTAAGAACCCAGTAAAAGTGTGTTTATTGATATTTAATTTTGAATGTCGAAATATTTTATAAAACGGAGATATAATTTTCAAGCATTTCCTCCTTAAAAAGAGAGCAATAAGTTCTAGTTGGATGACCACTTAAAAAATTTAATACAAGCTCCTCTAAAATACAATTAAAATAACGAGCCTTACAAACAATGCTAAGAATACAGCAAACTATCCATTATTGTGGAACTGTTTGGTTGAAATTAACTTTTGTATACTGTTGTGCATGATCTTAACATTTTCGTGCATTCGAATAGATAGATGCATTTTAAAGATAAATTGATTTATGATCAACAAAGATAAAACAAAAAATATAAAAAAAGGTACAAACTATAAATTTTCAGTAAAGAATAGAAGTAAAGAAGAAGACTATGTTTCTGTACATAGGATTACATGTGGCAGGTCCATCAAATAATTTATCACAGTATCTGGAAATAAAGATACTTACTTGAAAATGTAATTAACAAACAAAATTATTTCTTTTTTTTCTATTATTATTACTAAGCATGTCATCCCTTTATAGTTGACTTTACGTTATCAGTTCTTAAATGTTTACAAGGTATATTTCAGTCTTTAAGGAAGGTGTAAAAATATGCACCCTAACCTGAAGATGATACTTGGGCTGGATTTAAGTTTGAACAATCGCGTGAGAACTTCCTTATGAATGCAGTAAAAGTTGCATGATTGTAATATTTTACATGAACAATACTACCCAGGTATATCCAAGTTGACACACCCAGTTTTAAGGTTATACCTTTCAACCTTCTTGAAGTTTTTTTTGACATATTTATTTATATTTGGAAACTTTCCATTGTTTTTCATATATCATCAATGTTATAAGGAAGTGGATCCATCTGTGTGTTCAATGATCTTATTGGTTGCTTTCAAATTGGCTTCTTAATATAAAGGCAGGCTTTTTGTCTGGAAAAATAAGAAAATAAGGATGAATCCCATACTTCATATTGTTTTGTACTTTTTTATTGTAACAGTGTCTGAAGCTGATCATTTTAGAGGCGGCACGATAAGTTGGCAACCTACCGGAATCGGTTACGGGGTAAAGTTTTGGTACATTCTGAAATCATAAAAAAATTAACAATGTAGCGGGAAAAAAAACCCCGAGATTTTTTTTTCTTTTTATACACCCCATTGTACATTTTGTTATATTCCTTTATATTTTTATTTTAACTCTTCACCTTTACAGTTTAGTTTTACATGTTTTTTTTAAAATAAAATCACTGTAATTAGTTATCTTTTAAATAAATATCCATGAGAAGCATCATTGTAATGAGTAGCAATCCATCCTTAAAGTTATTTTTCTGCTGTGAAAACTTCAGTACTTTGTTCATTTAAATAGATTGTAATTTATATTCATAAATTTAAGTTTTTCTAACAATTTGAAGGTCCAGTTCTCATTCAAGCTGGGATGGCGATATGGTAGGGGTCCGGTTGCACTCCAGCGTTGATAGGGAACCTGGTTACGGGGATGAGTAGTACTTTCTGGAGATGTACGTCAGGTTGTAATACGACCTCCCAGTCTTTGAGTTCAGTAAACTACATATGTACAGGAGCAAGCGTAGCTGAGGATTGGGAACAAGGGGAGAGGACCTTTGACTATACATTTCCAGGAGAAGGTCCTTTCGTCGTTGAGTAAGATGATAGAGAACACTACACTTCTTCACAAATACAACTCCCATAATCTCATTATATGAAAGGATTTTTGTAGTTCAAGGTTTTTGTCTTTTAATTCATATAGATTTGCAAGTTGTTGCTGGATAAGTTTGGACTATGGGACGTCTGCTGGATCCTGGTCAATTCGAACAGTCGTTAATTTGGCCAGTAGGAGTGATATCCAGCAACCTAACACCAGTCCTGTCACAACAGGGAAGCCAATGTACACGTAAGACTCGTCATCTTTTTTAACATACAAAGTAATAAAAACTGGGTCAAGTAAGCTGATAAGATATTTAACCCAAGTCTGGTATTATTGCTACTGTCAAACTTTTGCAATCAATCCTTTTCTCTTAACAATTTATTCACTTTCATTAACAGAAGTGAAACAAAAAACTGTCGATGAACGCATAAGCTCGCTATGTATTTTAATGTTTAATGAATACCAAAAGCAGTAAAATCAAAAGTTGTAGAAAATGTCTTTAATATAAAATTTTTATGATTTCAATCTTTTTTCAGACTACAGTATGGTTGTCGGCTTGCCTTACAAATTCCAGTAGCAGATGCTGATGGTGATATTTTAAGATGTCGTTGGTCCACAGGGTCAGAGTGTGTATCCGTCTGTTCCGCTCTCCCTTACGCCAGCTTAGATAGAGTAAATCAATAATTGCTAGATACCATATCATTATAATTAAGTACAGAATTTGAATCTGAAATTCTAAACCAAGCAATTCTTACTAGATTTTGATTTTTATGAATCGAATTTTTAATGTTTTGGTAGGAGACATGCACGATATCCTTTCCATCAAATCACACCGTGAATGGCACATATGCTGTAGCTGTAACTGTAGAAGACTTTCCCCGCTCAAATATTACTATTGGTGGGACGACGTATACTCCATCAGACCCAATGACGGCAATTCATCTCCAGGTAAACTTTTTTAATAAAGTAAATTAAGAAGTTTATATTCTTTTTAATCACACTTGGAGGTTTTTCAGTTCTCAAGGAAGTTAATGTGATTTTTTTCAGTTTCTAGTCAGGACTGCTAGTTTGTCAGGTGGTTGTGATGAGCGACCTGTTTTTGTCAATAGCACTCCTCCAGAGGGTACCATTTTTAACCTTTTGACGGGACAAACGTTACAAATCTCGTTTTACATCGCTAGCAATCAAACGTACTTTCTTTTTAACATTGTTCATTTTTTAATGTCATTCTAAGATCGATTTCACAAATATATTGTTAACTGCAAATTATTCAATATTTTTATCGACCTTTTTTAAAAAAGAATAACAAGAGTTGATGTTACCTCACCAGCTGGGATGACGTATACTTCTCCCATGCCATACCCAGGACGACCAGGGGTTTTCTTTATAAACACAACATGGACACCAACAGCACTACAGATCGGTTCACATATTCTCTGTGCCTTAGCAGAGGATAACAATGGGTAAGAACAAGTTACAGTTTCAATACAAATATAGCCCTGTATTCTACAAAAATATGGAAGGGATAAAAGAAATTTAAATTCATTCTTTTTGAATCATAGAAATTCCATGCAGTAAGAATACTCAAATCACCCGTATTTTCTTAAAAAGTTGCAGAAGACATCAATTTTCAGTTGAATTTTCTTTCAGAAAACATAGTCTGTATGCATTACCGACAAAGATTTTGAGATATGTGATTTTTCAAAGCAATTTACATAATATATCCATATCCACGGGGGCAGGCACTATTTTCTAAAGAAAAAAGGCACAGAAATAAGTCATTCTTAAGCTTTTCCCTTAAATATGTACCATATTAATGACGTCATTTCCAGAATAGTCCTCCTTCATGCCATATTCTATTATGAATTATTATATTCATCTACTCAACTCTTGTTAACACCCTTCCCCGCAGTCACGCATTTTAACGCATATACCATTTCCTATTTCTAACGCAAAATCACGCATATACCGTTTCCCCGCAATCACGCATTTTCACGCACTTTAAAAAGTTCATTTAATCTTCAATTTATTGCCAAATTCCAACTATTTTATACTTGCTTTAATCTCATAAAATAAGAAAAGCTATTTTCTAATTAAAATATTATTTCAGAATATTATTTACGCTAAACTTTAGAGAAATTTGTACCCCGCTATAAAGTGCTTGCGGGGAAATGGTAAAGTAATATTTCTATGACGCGAGGATTCAATGTATGTTGCATAGCAATTCTGTAAGTTGTAAAGAGTTAAAGCCATTTTCATGTATTTTTAAGAACATTAAATTTTAGGGCACAATAAAGTCCAAAGCGTACCTTCTTCGTTGATTAAACACCAAACAAAACATAGTCTTCTAATGTTTAATGTACATATAATACAAGAGTCTAAAATAATTAAACATATAAAAGTAATACCTGACGTATATTTACAATCAAACTTTTCCTACCAATGTCTAGAAGGGTAATATGACAACGGAATGCAATGCACAGAGTTCCTTTTTTTTTTAAGTTTTATTATTATTATTATTTCATGTTATTGTTGACAGATTCTTGACATTGGATGAAATACTTTACAAGACATTACCTTTTTTGAAATATACATGTGTTAATTCTTTTGTAGAAAAGCAAGTGATTCTCGTTGTGTTGAAATAAGAGTTACAGGTATATTTAACTTTATAAAAAACGTTATGGAATTAATAATAAATATGCCTTATCGCAAACTAATTTCCTTTTTGTATGACAGATATAAGCCCCTGTTTATATGAACCTTGTCTGAATAATGGGACATGCATTCGCCTAGGAATGACTCAAAACTTCACGTGTAGCTGTATTTCTGGGTACACCGACAGAATATGTCAAACAGGTATTTCAGACTGCCTCGTACAAAATGATTAGATTTGACTCTGGACTATAAATATCTTTATGAAGAGGTTTTTGCGCCCTTAAAACTCATATTCCATTTTAATGTTATAATGCTGTTAAAAACACTTGACTCAAGTGCAAACTTGATATATTACTGTATTTTATGAATTTTTTACAACACAAGTAAACACTTAATTGTCACATATATTTACAATGTTTCTTTCTACATTCTTGGGTTGAAATTGCAAGGTTCAATATATTTTAATCCTCTTTATACACCTTGCCTCTCTAGAAATTGATGAGTGTGCTAGCCAACCATGCCTGAATAACGGGACATGTACAGATTTTATTAATTCGTTTTCCTGCTTTTGTCATCCTGGATTTACTGGTGCTAATTGCGAAACAGGTATATATGCCTGAGAGGTTTTTTTTTCTTTTTCTAAGATAACTTTTACTATATTAATAATTGTTAGGAATATGGGTTATTTTAAGATATTTTAAGATTATATTATGATTTATTTTGATTTTATATATTTTATTTGCTATTCGTTATCTTCTAATTTATAGACATAAACGAGTGTGCAAGTTTTCCTTGTCTTAATGGTGGCTCGTGTGTAGATCAGATAAACCTTTACCAATGCGCATGTGCTGCGGGCTTTGGAGGATACAACTGTGAAATTGGTAGGTACTATGTCATTTTTAGATAAGCGAATCTGAGGTTATCTATTGTTTTATGTCCTTTCTGTACATAGTGGCATGTAACCAGTCATTATTGCAGCCCGAAGGACCCGGCTGCTCTATACATATAAGTTTAAGTGTTGGTGTATGGGGATTGGGGTGGGAGTAGTTATGTAGAATTAAAGGTTTTCTAAACGTTTAAAAGATTGTTAATCAGAATGTTCTTTTCGTATATAAATTACGAGATACATAATATATTTACTTCCATAAAGTGAATCTGTAAAAATATATATGTTTTTTCATATTTAATATATAAAGTTATTTACATGTATTATTTACTATCGAAACAACGACAGGTCCCTTTTTTAGAACATCGAATTTTACTTCTCGGATAAAAGCGTACTCTGCACAGTTCATGTTTTATGTTCTGAAAATGAAAAATAATACATTTTTAAATATAAATGATGCGTATGTCTAACTTCAATTTATATTTAATATATGCAGCCAACATTTACTTGAGAAATTGATAAAGTTTACAATGGTATCGTTTTTGATGATTTTTATCCGACTACCATTTTTTTTTTTTAATTTTTGCGACTATCTTCTCCATTAATTAGACGCATGCCTTTTACCACATATCTAAGCGAATTGTTGATCAAGATTCATTTTCGATGTTTACTTTATATATTTCCCGGGCGACAATTGATGGTCGCATCAGTGTTTTCTTGTTTTATGTTTTGAGAGCTAAAGCATCTTGGCAACGTTCGAATCAATTACCAACAAATATGTTTATGTTGAATTTTAGCTCATAAAAAAAACATCTAAATAACTGTTAAAGGATGTCAAAGCCCACCACAGGTTTCAGCAGTCGACTGATGATCTTATGCTTTAATCAAACTACTTCAAATTTCATTTATTCTATCTCCAAAAATCATTTCTGTTATCAATGATAAGTACCAACTCTTTACCTATGTATGGAAGACTATAGACGACATCCTTAAACTTCAGTATAAATGCATTGTTTATGTCCATCCTGCCCTTGTCGTCACTATGGTTTACATCATTGCTGCTGCCAATCTGTAATGTCTGACTATTTCTCAATTCAGATAAGGGTTAAAGACCTTAATATTTATTCTATTCGAGTAATGATATACAAATTTTCACCTCCTCGATTTTTACAGACATAGATGAATGTGAAACAGACCCATGTATATTCCTGTTTGATTGCTTTGATGGGCTAAATGATCGAACTTGTAAACTCAACGAATTCAAATTGGCAGCAATAGTAACAGCATTAGCACTTACTGCTGGAATCATTATATTCCTCGTCTGTAAAAACAAGAAGAAATACAAGGAAGTGGACCACTCATGGTAACTCTCTCTCTCTCTCTCTCTCTCTCTCTCTCTCTTTCTCTCTTGAATGTACAACCACTGCCTCCTTAAAGTATATTTTGAGTGCTCTTGTTATAGATGAGTTCATTTGTTTTGATTTTAGGCTATCTAGCTACTTAGATGTTCGAAAACCTGACTCTCAGCCAAAACTTGTGTAAGTATTGACTTTCAAATATGGATGCTTTTAAAATGTCATATTTTCATATATAGACTTTCAAATATATATGCGTTTAAATGTTGTCAATTTTTTCAACATTATTTTTTAAATTGTTTTTTGTAGATACCAGCCAAAGTCGGTCCAGAATTTAAAACAACCTAGTTCAGTATGTAACTTGTTTAGTTTTACATCCAAAAACTTTCTTAAATGAGATATAATGATAAGGTAATGTGTTTTTTAATCTGCATTTTATATCAACAGATTGTTTTGTTTAATATTTATTGCATGAAATATGTTGCTACTTTAACTGTTTCAAAACCATGACTGATATTTTATATGTATAAATGGATCAACTCTTGAAAAATAACGATATAAAGTAATTAGTAATTTTCGGATGAACTCTACAAAACTTATACTCTAAGCTGTTTTTCTAATCAACATGGTTGAAAGCGCTCACAGTATTTTGATAAATATATTTCTTTTTCCCAACCCACTGTCATTGTTTGCAATTGGGAAATAAATAATTGTGTGAATTCCACTCACGAGTGTTTGTCGAGGGAATAAAATACAACTTATTAAATAAAAATCTTATTCCGTAACTACGAGTATACTGTGGAGATTTTTACCTGATATATATATAATTTAAATGTTTACACTTTTCATGTAATGAGGCAGGGAATTGGGTTTAAAAATATATACCCGATTTCATTATTTATGTTTAATACAATAAAATATGTTCATTTCAAAAACATGACATGATTTCATTGTATTTGTTTATTACAATAAGATATGTTACATGTAAAAAAAAATATTACATGATTCCATTGTATATCTTTATAACAATAAAATATGTTCAATCAAAAAATGACCAGATTTTATTGTTTATGTTTATTACAATAAAATATGTTCAATCTAAAAAAATGACTTTAGTAATTTCCCTTTCCAATCGTTTTATTTAACGTTGTAAATATATCTGCGTTGTTCCGCCACCGAAGCGCATTAGGAAATAAAAACAGAAGAACTGGTGATTCAGTGATTTTATTAGAGAGAAAAAAATCTTCTCAAGAACAGCAAAGCCATGATTGGTCATACCTATACGACACAAAGTTGAAATAGAATTACATTGGAAAAACGTCTTTGAAAATCTTTTTTCCAAGAAAAGCAAAGTCATTTACATTTGGTCATATTCATGAAAAAGCCTGCAATGGTAGTGTAAAACTATGACTGATGGTTTACATATCAACAAAGGTCAAAGTGGGAAATATGAATAAAATATTCAGTAAATGTTATCTCCTGGATGACACTAATAATTATGTAGATGATTTCCCCTGGATAAAGGGGTAACTATGATCGATTCTCATTATCATAAGTGATATACATATTTAGAAATTAGAAGCATGAACATGCAAAGGAAAATTTTGGTTTCACTCAGATGTGTTCCTGTAGACCTAAGGCTACTCATAGATCTCTCGTCTTCCACGCATCTGGTACCGACAAAGGTGACAGCATTGATATCTGCTAGGCCGGACAACACAGATTTCAACACTGCATTATCAGCAGGAATGTTGTTCTGTGGGGCGCATGAAGCGGGGATTGCTGGGTCCATCAGAACACAGTCACGGTATACTATATCAGCATTTACAGTGGCTGTAACAAAACAAAGACAAGTACTGGTCGTCATCATATTTACATCCACTGAATATTTTCTCCTTCATTTCTTAAGAAAACTCATTGCTTTAATCACTGCATGAACTATATTTTGCATGTCGCCTGTACAGATTTCTTGATCAGTGGCTGTTTCATCAATGAAACGTATAAAGACGTTCGCATCATTAATATAGTAATTAATCTTTTTAATCCCACTTTAAATGATTATTTAAACAGATATGAATATAAACAATAAAATGTCTTTCTTTGTTCGTTATTACTGGAATTAACGGTCGCAGCTATTGCAGAAAAAAGTTACATAACGCGCTTACGCGGGGTTATGTATTTTTTCTGCAACAGTTGCTTCCGTTAATTCCAGTAATAACAAACAAAGATAGCATTTTATTGTTTAACTTACTACACATTTACTGGTTATACTAAAAGTATTGTTATATCGGGGGTAGATCCTAGAGGCAAAAGACAGAGATAATTTAATTTTATTCCTCACATAATTCTATGTTTTGCAGTAATAATGTGTACGATAACTGCGAAGTAATAATTATGGTAAAAGGTGAAAAAGGTTCCATACGGTGTGTTCGTTAGTAACCGATTTCCTCCTACTGGAGTTCCTAAGCTTTTAATTGCATTTAACAACTCGGCGACACTCGTGTCTGTTGACGATTAGGATATTTCGACTTGGGGGAAAAACAGCTTGCCTGTATAGCAAGGTAAATTCATCAGAATGCTCATTTTTTTTTTAAATATCATTTCTTACTTCCTGTTCAATATACAGAATTTGCGATATACCTTACAAAATGTTGCAAATCAGATCTGCAACCAATTAATTTACATGTCTTAAAATAAATAAGATAATCTTACGGTTGATGAGAGTTAGGTCAATTTGCACTGTGACAGTGCCGGTGTAGGTCCCACACTTGTACACTTGTCCTGACGTTGGATTACTGGGACACTTGACCAAACTCACGCCATCGGCTGTTTGTCCTGGAGGGGTACTGGCACATTGAGGACTTCTGGGTAATACAATGCTTTGGAGAAATGAAGGGAGGTCCTTTATAACCACGTGAGTACATTTAGAGCATTCCAACCCTAAATAAAACAAGAAAGACGGCTTTGTAAATAAAACACGTAAAAACTTACGTTTAAAAATTATTACAAGAATACTTCTCTGAAAATCTGATTTACTTGCAATTAGTCAGATAAGGGCACTATCCTTGCTACATGAGTGAATTATAAATTACTCAGTAAGTGAAACTAAAAGAAATCTGGTGTCTTAGCTCCTCTTACGTTTCTTTTAACGAATCTACATCATCTTTTTGAAAATGTTTATTGATGTCCTGTAAATTATAGTAGAGGTTTACGATTTTTTTCTTTTCTATTGTGGAGCCCAAAAAGAAATCAAAATAGTTTGATTTTTGTTCTATAAACGTTTGCTCGATCAAATCCTCTCACATTTTTCAGATTTGTCAATTTATTTTCTGGAGTATACTTTAAAGGGTCCTGTAGAGTGTCATCAGGTTACTGAATTTTGATTAACCAGTACTAGTTATGGACGGGACAAGTTTTTTTCTAAATATAATTATTATATATACTAGTATTATATCAAATATAATGGTGATTAAATCTAACCTGATAATTGTATCCTATAGGGGCATGTTTTCCAGTCTGTTACGAGTGTTTTCAAGCATAATAATTTTTTCTGTATATTAGTTTTTAAATCCTCTAGATATCTCTGTGTAAAGACATAATTTTTAATACATTTAAGTCAGAGTCATACACGTCTTATAGGCATTAATAATGATATGTTTCTGGATGTAGTTAAGGATTTTTAAAAATGGTGCCTGGTGATATTTCTTAAATTGATCAAAAAGGAAAGATATCTACAGAAGACACGATAAACAACCGATAACGTATGAATTTTTAAGAAAGTCTGAGAGAAAAAGGACAAGATGGTACATGTAGTTACGTACATATGATTACAAATCATGATGATTTAAAAAGGAAATATGAACTTAATTTAACATAAAATTCTGGTATGGCTGTCTTTAAAGACCAGGGTTTGTAAGAGTTCATCTCATGGTATTTGCAGTTCATATGAGGAAAACATCAATAGTCATACTCCATTTTATACGGAATGCTTCCTTTGAATATTCTAAACTTTTAAAAGCCTAATGTACCGCTATGATGAATTTCAGGAACAAGGAAACAGAATTAAGGGTATAACCAGTATTTCTAGCTCTCAGACTTCTAGATGAAATTTTTGGTTGTTCCTACACTTCGGTTGTAAACTAAAACAAATCCATATAAAACGTATTACCAAAATACAAGACTAAATCTTAGTCAATGTACAATATAAAAATATGTCCTCTTTTTTCCCGAATTATAAACCACGAAATTTGTATTTAAGTTCAGAAAATAATCATTTTGTTTCTCATTTGTTTTTTTACCAGGGGAAGAGCAATATGCCAATTAAATCCTGTTTACGAATAAACCACTATTGATGAGATGGCAGGACACGAAGGAGAAAAACATCTTTTCGATACAAAGAGACAAAAGAGGATTCGTGTTAATATTACAAACCAGTTCGATCTCTAAAAACCTTAACGGTATTCTTAAAAAGAGATTGCAAAAGTCCTTATTTAAACAAAAGGGGGGGGGGGCAGAAGTTCTAAAGGAGAAGTATTTGGCTACCTAGAGGCGCTCAAGGAAGTAAAATACTGGCAGTTAGAACTTGTAGTGGCATTACACCCCCTGTCTGCGAGATGAACTATGTCAAAATGCAGGAAAAGCATGTAAACATGCAAGATAATTATGTCTTTATCAACAAAATTATGTCTACAATAACTATCTCACATGTTGAGTCAATACGTAGCATGTCATCATAATAATCTTACATGGTTACATATATATATTGTATTTTTGCATAATTTTCTCACATCTTAACATAATTTTAAAAAAGCATCTTTGCATAATTAAGTTACATATTGATAATAAGTTGAATGTCAATATAAACAAGATGCCCATGGGCCTTATAGGTCACCTGAGCATCATGCAACACTTTTCCAACGATTGAATTTGGTTCATGTTTTAAACTAGATATCAGAGCAATCACATTCACATTTTGAAAGAGGCACCTTTCTTATCATAACTATACACAAAGCATGCTTTCTTTGCTTACTTAATACTGTAAAACGAGAATATTTGACGCACTACTAATATTAGCGCCTTTGGCGCAAAAGCCCCTGAGCGCTAAAATTTATTGTGCGCTAAAGGATTTCTTAATATCATTTTTTGTGTGTGTTCAAAGCTTTTACATAAGTACATGTAAACCGAAACGCGCGATTACGTAAGGTAGAAGGGTCATTGGATTTTATATACACACTAGCACTGCACATGTTCGGAAGACAGAAAGTTCTGCCGAATTATAATTTAATTAAACTATTGTTACCTCGGTAGTTGTTACCCGATAATTATCATTAGCACCTTCAAAGTTTGGCTTCTTGGCGTGTCAATAACTATCGCCTCGAGGTAAACAATGCAATCAAGCATGGCGATTGAGCTTGCAGACAATACCTGATTAGGATTACCGTTTTATCTAATTAAATATCTGTCGATGCATGCATTATTTTAATGTGATTTAAATGAGTAAATACTCCATTTCTTTTAAATGAAAAAGGGAATTAAATAAATTTTAACATTGTACCACGTCCATGTGATAGCAACACGTACCACGGTAAAGATAATGAATGTTTACTGATATACGGGGTACTTATGTGTTTTCGTGCTTGACTTACCAAAAAGGCAAATACTGATGGGATAAAAAAAAACAACAAAATATCACATTTATACATCTTACTGACAAGTGCAAGCGCTAAAATTTATTTGCGCCAATGCATTCCCACTTGCGTTTGCGCTAAAATACGTATGCGCCAAATTTTCTCGTTTTACAGTACTGAATACCCATAGACAGAGTAGGGGAACCAAAAAATGCATTTCGACTTATCAGTAATATTCAGCAATAAACAGTAGTTCGACTAACACACATGAACTCCTGACCCTTGGTCCACACATTTCACAATTTTCGAAAAAGGCACCCTTGCTTATCAAAAATGTTTGAATAATACCAAGGAGCAGATTTCAATCAATTTATTTTCAGTATATAAGTAGGGCCCCCCTCCATGGTACCCCTGACCCAGGGACCTTGAAATTCACAGGGAAGAATGGCCCTTGGTCATCATAGCTATTAAGGTAGTTCATCTCTTAATACCTAGGAGCAGAGAAGAACATTTTCAAAGAATTAATGCATTTTCTCCATATAATCAATAGAGCCCTGCCTTAATACCAGATTTCCTGTCCCTGTGGCCATCAACATTCACAATTTTGGAAGAGGCATTCTTGCTCATCATACCGATGTACGTTCATGCCGTTGGTTTATTTAATGCCCAGGAGCAGAGAAGAAGATTTTTAAAGAAATTATGCATTTTCACTATATAATCAATATAGAGCCCCGCTATAACACCAGAACCTTTGACCCTGGGGCCATCAACATTCACAATTTTGGAAGACGCTCTCTTGCTCGTCATAACTATGTATGTAGTTAGTTTATTTAATATTCAGGAGCAGAGAAGAAGATTTTCAAAGAAATAATGCATTTTCACTACATAATCAATATAGAGCCCCGCTATAACACCAGAACCTTTGACCCTGGGGCCATTAAATTCACAATTTTGGAAAAGGCTCTCTTCCTCGTCATAACTATGTATGTAGTTAGTTTATTTAATATTCAGGAGCAGAGAAGAAGATTTTCAAAGAATTAATGTATTTTCACTTCATAATCATAGAGCCCTGCCCTGACACCAGAACCCCTGACCCTGGGGCCATAAAATTCACAATTTTGGAAGAGGCATTCTTGCTCGTCATAACTTTGTACGTAGTTAGTTTATTTCATACCCTTGAGCAGAGAAGAAGATTTTTAAAGAATTAATGTATTTTCACTACATAATGAATCAACAGAGCCCCACCCTAACACCAGAACTCCTGACCCTGGGGCCATCAAATTCACAATTTTGGAAGAGGTATTCTTGCTCACCATACCTATGTACGTAGTTAGTTTATTTAATACCCAGGAGCAGAGAAGAATATTTTCAAAGAAATAATGCATTTTCACTATACAATAAATAGAGCCCTGCCCTAACAGCAGAACATTTTACCCTGGGGCCATGAAATTCACAATTTTGAAAGAGGCATTCTTGCTCATCATAACTATATACTTACTAATAGTTAGTTTATTTAATACCCAGGAGCAGAGAAGATTTTTAAAGAAATAATGCATTTTCACTATATTATCCATAGAGCCCCGCCCTAGCACTAGAACCCCTGACCCTGGGGACATGAACTTTACAGTTTTGGTAGAGGACTCAATGGTCATTACATTCATGCTAACAATTTGACTGCTTGATGTCCAGGAGTAAAGTAGAAGAATTTTAAAGATTGCATTAATTTTAGTGGTTTTGGCGTCCAACCCTCAGGCCCAGGGGGGGGGGGGCAGGGACCATGAAAATAAGAACTTTTGTTCCTAATTACCCATAGATGCTTTATGCCAAATTTGGTGGAAATTGATTGAGTGGTTGCAAAGAAGAAGCTAAAAATGTTCAAATGTTAACACACGACGCACACCGTTCGACGACGGACGAAAACAGATAGCAATAGGTAACCTGAGTAGATTCATAAACTAATAATTATAAGGTGCATGTCAACAAGCCGCATGTCTTACTGAGTACATAATTATATCGCATGTCTACATTATAGGGCACTAAATTCCACTGATGGTTTTAGAGGTACAGGTTCGCTCTGTTCCTAATTTTTAGTGTTTGATTGGACTTTTTAGCTTATATACTTTTCGTTATGTCCATTTTATTCATTTTATCAATTCATAAAATAAAAAAAATATATTCATCTTCTTTTGTGTTACAGGCAGTCAAAGTTTGGCTGAATTTTTCTTCATTTAAAATTACTTCCTTGAAAAAAATTCGTTGAATTTTGAAAATTGCACTTTTCCTCAGTACACCAAACCAAATTGAAAGCAATTCAAAGAGGTCCGAAATTATTTCATATGCTCTAATTTTTAACATACAACATATAGATTTATTGATATGAAGGGTAAGTTGATTGTTCCTGTAAGTACTTCATATAATTTCTGTCCATAACTTCGCATCTATTAGCTAGTTTCGACCAAAAAAAATACAGTGATCTTGGTTCATAAATTAAGTGTATGTGTGTCATTGATGAATAAGGCAACACAAGTTAATAATTAGTCTCTCTACTTGTTGATTATTAGTGACTCACACTACAAGATCTAGTAAGCAGAAAAGATATTTCCTCACTTCTTTCTAGATTTTCTGAACCACAGAGTATAAACAGACACTGTTTTGTCGTCTGTATTTTGGATGTCAAACCACTTATAGAAAATTAATCTGAAGCACATTTTACTTACCTATGGCTGTGTCCAAGACGGTTAACAGAACAATAACCAGTGATGATAAATCCATTTTAAATCTGAAAGTAAGGGTTAGAATATAGAGATATTCACCATAGTATCTTTAATAAGTTGTCACTATCCACTTCTATGTATATGATGCGTCATTGTCACAATGAAGAAGTGTTTTCCGTATAAAGGCCACATTATTTTGTAGCACTGGTTCTCTGCCCTTGATTCCAGTCGCTGCCGCTAGGAATTACAAGGACAGGTAACCTCCGCCGCCATGACAGTGGAAAAACTCACTGCTTGCATCGCGCATAGTACTGCGCATTCCAAAAATAAATAGCATCAATGCTTGCAGAGAAGAATGTTAGGTGGATCCAGCGATTTAAATAACAGAGAAAACAAAACGTAGCATATCTTTCTGAATAGAGCAATTGAATACGGTGAAATTATTCAAACAACATAGTAACGACTTTATTAACTGAGTATATCATTAACTTACAATATAATGTCACAATGAACTTTTAAATGTTCCGTAGTGTTAACATTGTTATCCTCCTATTCCTGGTGCATGTACTATAACACATGGAGTTAGAGAGACGAGTTATAGCATTCCCCGTAAACTTTAGAACATAAATATGTTAAAGAACAAGTGTTATAACTAAATCGATGATTTAATTATCATATCTGTGGCAAATATGTAGGAAAATTAATCATGCAATAGATCTTGATTTGAATTATTTGGTAGGATATGCATATGGGACCTGTGATATCGCTTTACATTTAATGGTTTTTGAGGCAGCACTTCTTTATGGTTTTTTAGATGTTTAAAATCCGTCTACTTTCTTTGTTAACAGCAGTGTAGCATGTGTAGAGTGCAGAGAGAAGGGTTTATTTACTTCAACACTTCTGGATTTACGCTAGTCTAAATATAGATTTTTTCATCAGTGCTGTTTCCTGTGACGCGTTAAAATGGCAGTGGTTACCTGTCGTTGGTTTTTTAGGGCGCTTGCGCCCGTGAACCAATGTCAGGGTACCAGTCTACATTATTTTGTACGATGTGATAATCCATTAGGGCCACTATATGGAACGCCAAATTTACATATATTCAAATATTTGTACCTATCTTCAAATAATTGCACCTATCTTCAAATAATTGCACCTATCTTCAAATAATTGTACCTATCTTCAATTGAATTAAAGATAGGTACAATTGAATTAAAGATAGGTACAATTGAATTGAAGATAGGTGTAAATAATTAAACATATCTCTAAATAATTATACCTAGGTGCAAATGAATTATACTTATCTTTAATTGAATTACACCTATCTTCAATTCAATTAAAGACAGGTTCAATTGAATTATACCTATCTTCAATTCAATTAAAGATAGGTACAGTTGAATTAAAGATAGGTACAATTGATTTGAAGATAGGTTCAATTAAGACATATCCACAAAGTATATTTGAAGATAGGTACATTTCAATTATACCTAGGTTCAATTCGTTTTGTGTTGTTGAAAATAATGAACGCTCCCTTGGAGAAATATTGAACATGGAGGGAAACGCACAGAATCTACAGAGCGACGACAACGAGGTGAAAGGAGAAATAATACACCCCCTTTTAATTTGCCTTATATATTAAAGTAATTTTGTGTTTTCAATTTTAGTTATACCAGATTCAAAATGTGCAAAATGCATTTATACTTAATAAAATGCACATGCATGTATACGGTAAGACATATTACTAGAAATGACGTATGATAAAGGGAGTAACTATTATTACCAATATCTTAGTAATTAAAGATAGGTTCAATTCAATTGTAGCTATCTTTAAATCAATTATACCTATCTTCAATTCATTGCATTTGTACCTATCTTCAAATCAATTATACCTATCTTCAAATGAATTGATGATAGGTATAATTGAATTGTACCTATCTCTAATTCATTTGAAGATAGGTACAATTGATTTAAAGATAGGTACAATTCACTTGAAGATAGGTACAATTCATTTGAAGATAGGTACAATTATTTGAAGATAGGTACAATTGTTTGAATATATGTTAATTTGGCGTTCCATACCACTACGGTGTCTTCATTGAAGCAGAACAGTGTCTAATTCTTAATACGATGCAGGTTGTTTCCTGGTAAGGGGTAAGGGAAAAGGATCCCTGTACATTTCTGTATACTTTGTTAAGCACGTCTCCTTTACCTGTTTACTGTAAGACCCTTAGATAAACTAAAATATACATATGCTATGAATCCACTAACCTTCGTCAGTGAGTATCACCGATATATGGCAATCTGTTAATTGGTAGCCCTCTTCACATGCCACTGCATGCGTTTATTTACCCACAGCTGTAACTTTTACAATTTACATGTATAGAAATTTTTACTGTTGGTGTGTGAATGTGTGTGTAGGTGTGTGAATGTTAATTTTTGCAATGTGTTCAAATGCACCCACTGCCTGAATGTATATCAGTATGGTGTTTGAACTGTTAAAATATTTTTAAAGACTTTTTGGGGTTTTCTAGTTGTTCTTCATCTCAGTGTTCCTTCCATGATGCACCAGGGGAAAAAATTTTCTTGTTTCAATGACAAATTAATTTGACTTAAAAAACAATGGATTGCCATGGTTCTTTCAAATATACGTACACATGTCTAGTTAAATTTAATGATAATAAAATAGCACATTAGTAGGAAAATGTTTTAACAATAAATAAAAAAATATCAACTTAAATCAAGAAGTTGAGATTTGAGAGTATAGTATTTCCGTTGTACGAGGGTCATTCAAAAAATACGTAGACAATGTCCTCCATCATCATATTATTCTTACAAAATTTTAGATCAACACATTTTCATATGTAAAATCATTTATTTTTTCAGTGTGTAAAGTTTCATTCTATTAGATCACAGGAGTTCGCGTACCTTTCAATTTTACCGAAATTTTCAGTAAATAAAAAAAACGTAATACCTATAATAATAACACTGTTATTATTATAGGTACTGTATTTCGTATTTTTTTTATTTACTGAAAATTTCGGTAAAATTGATAGGTACGCGAACTCCTGTGATTAGATTTACTGGTACTCGTGTTAGACACTTTTAAAAGCAGCATGTTTTGTCACCAAGGAGCACGGTTAACACATTGACGTCAAAAACAACGTCGATACATTTTCTTAAAATTACTTTGCCTTTTCATTTCATCCATGGTTTGTTGAATCTTCTGAATTCATGAATCTATAGCCCTTTACACCTAGTTCGCTAACAATTGTTTGAGTACCTTAAGGTAAGTCACTTCTGAAATTTGTTATATCAAGGATTTTTTGAGAAGTATATTTTGGACAAGTACTCATAAAGTGTAACTCAAAATCGCAAAGAAAATAGGGTGTCATTGTGCATCCTACTGATCTACGGTACATTTAAGTTGACCTTCTTGCACTTAAATTTCATCTCTTTGGTCAATTACTTTAATCCTTATTATATTTGATTAGATGTAAGAATGGCTATAAATATAATCTTATTTTACGTAAAATAGTTTGAATCATATTTATCAATAAACAAATCTTGCAAATTAATGCGCGTAAATTATTGTGTGACCTTTTTGCACTAAAAATAACATTTGGGGTATTAAAAAACTTAATAGGCAATAAAAAAAATTCTTATATCAAACTTTTTACGACTTGGGTGCTGATCAGTCACAAGTATCGAGTAGTTTAAAATAATGAAAGAAAAAGGTGGGGTTAGTGATGTTAATTTTGAAATATTTGTCAAAATATGTGATTTTCAGGCAAAAAATGGTGTACATTTTACCTTGACTTCTTTAATATATTTTCATTTTTTGGAAAAGTTTGTTGAGGGAAGGTGTAAAACTTAGTCTAAAAATATAAATTAAGACCTATATTAAATATTTTTAGCAATATCAAAACGGAAAATACTCTCCGAGTAAAAAGTATTTGAGGCTAAATTTCCATTACATTTAATTTTATAAATGTGAGGTTTGCAGAATTTTCTGCTAGATATCCTTCCACCAAAAGAAATAGTCCCTAATAAATCTTGCTTCTTTGTAGATTTGTTAGCAGTTTTTTCATTGAATGTTAAAAAATTTACGTTGTTGAATTTAAATATGTTATAAAAATTGTAATAAGTAGTTTTGAAGTAAGAGCTTCTGCGTGAACTTTTCTAAAAAGCTGACGAGTGACTTAATTACCTTAAGGTAAATTGTCAATGTTTTCTAATTCTTTATAGCGTAACTCTTGTTTGCACAACTTTCGCAAATATAAATTAATTTATCATATGTACTAGGAACACGTGCTTTTGTTTATTATGTGCTAATAATAGCGAAGTAGCTATTGGTCAGTATTAAAAGGTCGATACCTGTAGAACAGGTGAACAGGTATTCACTTTAATCACGATTTTAACTCATTCGAAGGCTTTGCTTTGCGACATTCACACCCACCCACCTACCCTCTTTCTTACTTCAACCTTTTACTAGTATTTTGTTTAATAAAGAAAGTAATTGTTTTCATTACAAGAAAATTAAAAGTTTTGTACACAACAGATCAATTGTCAAAGATGGGAAACAATTTGCTTAGTCGCTCTAGATAATTTTATGTAAAATTTGATATAAATGTAAGAATGTTGTGTAATGGTAAATATTAGCTACATATAGTCGAAATGTGTTTACAGATAGTTCTAACTTACATTTATTTTGCATAGGTTTTACTTAAACTGGTCGATTAATTGTACATTATTATATATGATACGTACGTAAGTTTGTGAGAATGAGTCCGCCATTCATTTTGTTTACCTCGCAATTGCTGCGGACTTACAGGTTTCCATAGTTTTTTCAACATAAATCGATGTTGTTTTTTATCTATGGTTTTTCCAGGGCGGCGAGGGAAGCATAATTGTGTTCATACATGCATTATATTACGTTTTTAATCAGTGAAGTGAGGACATATAAAAGCATTGAGTTAAAATGCATTTTATACTGTTATGTGTGATTAATTATATTTTTGATATATTGTAGAAGGAAGGTAGAGAATCGGTACCACTGAAGACTTGTTTTTGTAAATGTATACGTCTAATAAAT